TTCGTATATATTTTCGCTTGCGCGCCACATTTTTCATTCGTGAAAGGCTATAGACTGATAGCCGAAAGCTTATGTTTTCAATATATTTTTAACCAGAGACCGTTTTTATTCCAATAAATTGTTATTGTTGTTTTTTTGTTCAACGAATAAGGTGCTCGACAATGGACGGCTAAAGGAATTTGAAGAGCCTCACTTGCTGTTGCATAACAGATTCAGTTATTTTTACCGCCTTGTAGAGCAGACTGGCGCCATAACGGCTGCAGAGTTAGCACAGGCTGCCAGACAAGCTTTTTTACAGAGACATCAACCACAGACTCACCACTCAATCCCAGATGCCGTCAGAAGTCACTTGTCGTCTTATATACCAGCCTGTGGCTTCACTGATTTACAACTTGTTTCCAATGTTTAAATTTCCTTGTGGAGTGAACAACCTTATCAAATTTATTTTACATGACAAATTTTATTATTAACACGCACTGTGTACCACTGACCACTCACTGCTCATTTCTAGTAATCATTATTATTCATACCAAAAAATGAGATGATTCTTCTTATCTTTTTTTCTATTACAAATTCTCGTTGGATTTAATGTGAATACGAGGCAGTTGTTGACTGTGCGTTATTTTATCGCTTCGTACCAGTTCTTAGTTTTATATACAGAGTGCATTCTTGTAGCTAAAACATGGTGGGCAAGAAACAGCTACACATTTCAACACCATTAGGACTATAAGAAAATATATTTATAAAACAGTGTTATCTAACTGTCAATCTATTTAGCACTGTTGGCTGCTGGGTCACAGAAATTATAATAAAATGAATATCTCCTAGTAACAAGATGAAATACTATTTGGAAAGCTCCAAATCACTAAGTGAACAGTTTGTGTAATGGTCATTCCAGTGTAGTACAGCCAATTGTGTTTAGACATGTTTGCATTTTCCTTGTGAGAGGCTGTTTTGATCATTTTGTTAGACTTGCAGTGGAATCATTCGTGAAACAGTGTGCACTTCGTTTTTAACCTTGAAAATATGTTATTTATATTATTAAGTGAGGCACTCTTTATACCAGTGGTTGGGCTTAATGAAGTATTATATCAAAATAAATGGAGTATCTAGCAATATATATTTTACAAATAAGTGACAGTCGGTGGGAATAACTGCTAATTTTGGCCCATCGCCGAGTACGTTAAAAAGCAGCGGGCCGATAAATAGTGGTAGTCCTGTGCTTTTTCTCATGTTTGAGGTACAGGCGTGGGACTGAAACTAGCAGCTTGGGTTCTCACGTCAGTTTGTTACTTGAGGACGCGGTCAAGGAGGTCGGGATTGACGGTTAAAATGACAATTGTTTCCCAGACGAAAAACAGAGAAGTGTGTAAAACAACGTTATTTTGTAATAAAAATATCTACATCTCATGGTGTGATTGTTTTTTCATTATTAGTGTATGATATTCATATAAGGATAATGGATGTTTCCCGAAAGTTAAAGTGAAAAGCGAAACAGTTAAGAGCCAAAAAAATAATACCAGTGATAATGACATTGAAAAAAATGAAAAGAAGCGACCAGTTAATGAGGATAAGTCTATTCACGGAAAGATATGGGGATTGTGTCTATTGTTTTAGGTTATCTGTCAAAACTGACGGGGTCATTGCCTTGAAATCCAATGCCATGTACATCATAGGGGAGCATAATTTCTCTAACTTTTAAATTTATTTTCTCGAGTTCCCATAGGAAATTGTTTTTGGTGTTATCTCGGGCAACTGTGTATATCTTAAGTTTTGAGAAAACGCAATAAGAACTGTAATATACTTAAAATTATTCTGGAATAAGGCTTTTGCCCATGAATTGTTCCATTTCCTATCGGATGTCGTCTTAAATTGGTTCTTGTTATAAAATTAGTCGGAAAAATTATCCAAAATCAACACCAATCTGCCGTTTACCGTTATTGCAGACTGCATGGTGTTTAGCTGTCTTGCTGGGAACATTTCCATGAAGTTCTCATAAACAAAGCCACTGAATCAAACCTTGATAAACGTAGGCTTGATATCATATATCGACTGGGATTTCTGTCCCAGAAATCATCAATTTGTCGAGCGGGTAAGGTTCATTTCCTTCCAAATCTTATGTAATGCGAAAAGCAAAGCATTAGTGACATGTTACTGTATGCCAAAGACTCTGATTCCTCGTCTGGTTATGAAAGTCCTGGGCTTAACCAGAGGTAACACAGCATCGAAAATGTAGGACTATGGCTAATCACAAGAATAACTGTTTCTGTAGAAAAACAAGGATTTCCTTTCTAACATCGAGACGAAATCTTCACACACAAGATTCACCTTTACAAGCGGCAATTTCATTGGTTTTTTTTAGTAGCCCCAATCTAATTGGTGTGACATACCGTAAATCCTCGAATTAGCACCCCCCTAGAATAAGCGCCCCTCCTATTAGCCAAGATTTCAAATAAGCGTTCCTCCCCCCCTCGAATAAGCGCCCTCCTTCCCCCGCCATTTTATGGACGAGTAATTAGACAACAAAGGATGTATGGTTCCACTTTCGTCCAGCCTTTTTTACACAGTCATTAGTAATTTACATCTTTGCAATACAGGAAACATCATTTCTTTTCTTCTAAGTTGCATCCTACAATTTCTTGTTTCAGTTTCTGAACACGTTATGTTAAGAAAGAAATACAAGTACTAATGTCATAACAGTGTCGCGATTTAAACTTTAGGATCAGCTTTTTATGTCGATAAACAGCTTATGTTGTTGTTTACGCGCAGATAATGTATTTAAAAAATGATCATGTCAGGCCACAACTTGGGAAAAAAAGGAAATAAGCGCCCCCAACCCCCTCGAATAAGCGCCCCCCGTCTTCTCCTAAATTTGAAATAAGCGTCCCGGACGCTAATTCGAGGATTTACGGTACATACATCTCTCACTCACTCAC